ACCAAAAAAAAAAAAAAAAAATTAAGCTCAAAAGGAACATAGGAACAGAAAAGAACACAGCCATCCAAATCCAAGTCTCCCCCCCCACCCGGCAAATGCACTTACCTATAAGCATTAATGTAATCTTTCCTGTGTTCCAGAAGAAAATCTCTCAGTTTGCCAATATGAGAAATCTAAAATTAAAAAAGAAAGGAGTTCATTAGATTAGATAGATTACACTAATGCCATGAAAATCAAATTAACAGAGAATGGAATGCAGCCTGCAGAGAATGGGAAGCTATGAACTGAGCAACTTGAGGTTTTAGTTATGCAGTTACTGACTTGCTAACATTCCTGGGCCTGGTCTCCTCTCTTATGAAAAGTTCCTTCTTTCTACCTCTCATTGCTGTGATCTATGACACTAGGAACAGGTGATCTCTAAGGAATACAGAGACTAGCTGAGACAACTCCTGTCTAGGAGTTATCAGACAGCAGGAACTGTGTGTCTTCTATCTACAAGTAAGCATTTCTTCTCTCATGTGTTGCAGGAGATGGATTCTAAGGGTGAAGTTAGGTGTGTAAGTAGGGCCCATGATGCTACAGGGTTAAAAAAAGATCTGGGGGAATGATTATCCCTGTGCAGCAAATCTCTGTTTTCCCTCTGATTTGCTTCTATGGATGAACAACAAGATACCAAGTACAGGTACAAAGCTTTGTGCTCATGCTGGCCAACTTCTGCTGCATCAGAAACCCACTCTGGAGCCTCTACCATGTTCCATACTGTGTGTGGAACTCAGAATTCAAAATTAAGTAGAGGCGGGGAGAAACTGGAATCAGAGCTGCCAGGGACCGAAGTGTTTCCAGAAGGAGAGGGTGATGAACTGGAGGTCTGCTCTGTCCTCTGGCCACTGATCCAGTCCCCACTCACATTCTCTGTACTCCTGCCAAACACTTGTGCTCTAGCCTTGAAAGGTCTACTGAATTTTAATTTCTTCCACACATAAAGTTTTCCTGTCAAGGCTAACTCAAGCCAATTTTCACTTTGCTTTCAACTTAACACCACCCACTTGGCACACTCAATTACATGCATCCACGTACTCTGACTTCACTTTTACATACGTCCCTCTCTTGGGACATTATGAACTCTGCAAGGAGGGGTTGCACAGTGTTCCCTGCAATTCTAGGCACAAGAACAAAAGGTGATCAATAAATATTCATGGAATGAGGATATGTCTAAATATCAAATAGTACTTGTCATAAAAGAAGCATTCTCAGTTCTGGAAATAGGTTGAACTTGCAGGGGTTCAGTTAAATTTCCTGCATGGTCTAGACTATTTATTATAAATGTGGTTCAGACAGATGCCCTAAGACACTTAAGAATATGGACCAAAGAAAACAAACATGGCTAAGATATTTTGTGCTTATTTCATCGATAAACAACACGTAGTCTCTTTTTCTTCCCAAGAGCCCTGCTGCGTGTCCTGACTATCCTGGTCTCACTAGCCAGTGTGGGTAGGCCAGCCTCACAGAAGCTAATTGACTCATCCAAGCTCATACACTCAGTGGCAGAGCTTGAATTCAAGCACAGGACAGTCCGAGCTGCCTTCTACACAGTCCTGCTCCTATTTTCCACTTAAGCTGCATCATGGAATCTGACTTTATAAGTTTGTCTGGAAAAAAAATTAAGAGATGCGCAAGCAATGTCTGACTACACTACATATAAGCTTCCATCAAGTGACTCTTCTTCAATGGTTTCCATCCCCTTTCCTGCAACCCCTGCTACCAGGGGCCAAAAATTCTTTAGGGGCCTCTATTAGGGGCCAGGTAAACCACATAAAGGATTGAGCAAGGGAAGCAGGTAGATAGGATACATGGGGTGAGGTCTGCTTTCCAAATACACAGCAACCAAAGAAGCAACTCTGCTGGCTGATTGGCTAAAGGGCCGCTGAGGCCTAACCTCAAGGCTTAACTAATGGCAGCAAGTCCACTCCCAGCCCTGGCACTTAAGGCCTGTGGAGAGCTGCCCCTGGGCTGTGTGGGACAGTGTTGTGCATCATAGCCTAGTGACGAGATAGTCTGGCATTGGGAACTTCCCATGACATCCCCACAGGGATAGACCATCTGATTCAGGTGAACTTCCTCCACAAGCTCTGCCAAAGATCCCACACAGCACCTGAGATGGGTGTGACCTGCCAAGATGCCAATCAACCTGCTGACTACAAGACATCACCAAGCAAGACTCCGCCCTTGAAACATTATCCCTGCCTTTGATGTACCCACTTAAATAAACCACCAGAGGCAGAGGCATCTTTCCTTTGTCTAGTTCCAGCTCTTGTGTGGACTGGATGTATCAAGGGCTCTGCTTTTGTAAATATATTTCTGGCTTTTTATGTTTTGTTCTTCACTAATTATTTTAGACTTTTAAATTTTCAGGCAGCTTACACTCTCCTCAGCAGGAAGAAGACCCCCGCCTCCCCCCGGCCCTATGAGACACTGGCTGTCATCCCTTTTAAAGGTAGGTCCTTCACAGTTGGGTCCCAAAGTCCCCAGTTGTATTGTCCCTGCCACGCTCCCTGCCAGACTCCAGAGTCCAAGATCTAGGGCTCCTGACTCTAGCAAGCTCAAGTGGTTCTCCTCCCTGGGATAACCCATGGCCATTCTCTCCAGGGCAAACCACTCCCCTTCAAAACTCCTGTTTCCTCTCCACACCCATGCCACTCCCAGCTACAGCCAGATCCCATCCATGATAAAGCACTGCCAAGCATCTGTCTCAGCACCTAAAAGCTCCTAGAGAGAAAATAGTCCTCTCTCTCCCTAGACATTGTCAGACTGAGTTCCTGGTACAAAGCAGAGCCTCGGAAACATTTACTAAATGTTGAATACACAGTGGATACTGAATAATCTCAGGAGGATTATACCTACTGTGAAAGGCAGAATAATGCTTTTTTGGCCTTCCCTTCTCCTGAAAGATGTCCAACTCCTAATTCCTGGAAACTGAATACATTACATTGCAAAGAGAATGAATCAAGTAGCAGATGAATTAAGGCTGTTGGTCAGCTGATCTTAAAATAAGATGACTATCCTGGATTATCCAGGTAGCAAGGTAGTCACAAGGGCCCTTAAATGCGGAAGGAGGAGGCAGAAGAGAGTCAGAATACGTGCGTGCCTCTAGTTGCGGGGAGGGCAAGGGGATCGATCCTCCCCAGAGCCCTCAGAAGAGAACACAGACCTTTTGAAAATCAGATTTTAGTCCCAGGGAGTCACCTTTTGGACATCTGAACTACAGAAATACAAGATAATAACTCTGCATTGTTTTAAGCCACAAGTTTATGATAATTTGTTACAGTGGAAATAAGAAACAAATACATCTACTTAGAGCCTTAATCACCATAACAATATTTTTACCAATCATAAAACTTTGCATAAAATGTTTTAAAAGGTCCAAGGAATCTACTACATGGCTGGATCAGCTGTCCTTTGCCCCTGCTACCCATTTTTAGTTAGTTTGAGTCTGCAAATGAGCAGACCAAATGGTGAAGGGATGAGCGCCAGGAACAACAAGGCCCACGGCATCTGATAAAAACAGTTGCAAGCGGTTTCAGTTAAAGTGTAACAAAATGTGATCCCAGCTTCAGGTGCTCTGTAATGGCAGATTTTGATAAAATAAGTTTATTAAAATAGAGTGAAGGCTGTTTAGGATTACATGGAATTCTTGGTAAATTAAGAGGTATTAAGTAATTACTGACCTAACAATTCATCAGTACAGTAACTCAAACTTAAAAGTATGCTGTATAAAATAATATTTTAATGCCAAGAATGAAAATAAACATAGGAGCATTAAGATTTCTTTAGACATTTGAGAGCTCTGAATTTCTATTAAATTCCTAAAATCGTGTACCAAAAAATCGTAACAAAATGACAAAGAAAAACAGGGTCATCTTTACAAAACAGGATATGACAGTTTATGACAGAGATTTTGGCCAAGTTCTGATCTGTTTACTATTAGGCTTAGACCTACTTTTTAGAATCAACTGCTGAAGATACCACATTATATTTCACACAATTCTGATAAGCCCCTTACAATTTCAAATTTTTAGAGCAGCTGAACACTTGTATGCTTTGATTTTTAATGATTCTACAT